GACCCTTTGGAATTGGTTTAATCATAGTATCTCAGGCGTCATTAGCGGGGCTACAAGTCGATTGCCTATGTTGATTGACAATAGACTGGAAGCGTTATGTGTAAAGCGGGAAAAAATTTTCGTATGTTCTGTTTTATTGCGTTCTCCATCAACATATCACCGTTCAGGCTGTCATTGTCATCGTTTCAGTGTTAGTTCAGCTTATGGGGTGCCAATTAACGCCGCATGGAGGTAACGACTAAACTATTGGTCACCTTTCGTTGATTCGCACCAAGTAGTGTGGTGGATTCAACAAGCCCCTCTTTCAATCCAGTTACTTTTCATGAGAACACATGCCTATATGTGAAGATTCATTGGAAAATTGTGACAACACTGTCCAGCCTGTTGGCACTCGTATCCTTTTCGTGATCCTATTCATCTTCAAAGTTAGTTGATATACTCCATCTTCTGAAGAAAAGATTGTATTTTAAGTCTCGTTCCACTAAAATCGGTAGTAAGAACAAATTGTAAGTGAATCGGTGTGAACCATTTGCTCCTGATTTTATGCAGTCATCATTTGCTTCATGCGGGAGTGTCTCATCATACTGCTACTAATATGGCGCGCGCGTTGCGTGTCGATTTTACAAACAAGATGCAAGATAGTTGAAGGTTTGATAATCAGGAACTTTATTTAATGTAGAAGCTCTAGACTCATCTAGATATCTGCTTTTATCCTTAAGGCCGAGTGGTGGGTGGAACTCTAATACGCCAGACCTCGCAGCCGGCGTACAATGGAGCGCCTTACGGCTATCAGACGATGACAACAGGCAAGGCAATGCGCTATAACGGTATGCCCATGGGTCCTCCCAGCAACATGCTTGCCTCGCAGCCCAACTTTACTATGGATTTTGGAGCACAAAGTTCCATGCCCAACGTGGTTCAACAAGGTATTTGTTTCCCCAATTGTTTTTCCTTTCATTTGTCGGTCATCATGATATTCACTTGATTCGCTTTTCACCGTACAGTCATCAAGTTACCGATCCGGCCATTTATCAGTCAAAGTCTATACACGCTTTTTAATAAATCTCGATCTTTCTCGGTCCCTATTTCCTTCTCTCTTCTTGGTCCGTCCATCCGCTCATTTACTATCCATCCACCGCACCTGACCTCCAAATTCATGCCTTATATGGCTCAACTATCTACTTGCTTCATCTCTCCTCCCTTCTCTTCATTAGCCTGTTTCACCAAAATTTTTCTTCCCCTTGTTTCTCTCCGTTTAACTGGATGCTGGTTCATTAGCAGAGCCACATTCTCTCATTTGCCATTTCTTGTTAATCAACTGCTATCAAAAAAGCATCAAGATAGGATGGTGTTCTCTTCATGCCTCAAGTGTTGCATGCAGGAGGAGCCAATATTGTGCAATAGATGGTTAGCTGGAATTAAAATTGGATAATTTGGAGGCAGCCTTATGATGTGTTCACAAGAAAGGAAACAAAACAGTTGGTGTCACAGATGGTCTATGGGAAGAGTGGATGACAACATTCCAGCGGTGTGCTACTTTCATGCTGAGAGTGGTGCTTGATTTTTCTCGAACTTGAAAGTAACCAAGACCTCCGGCGGTACTATGGGAAACAATTCCTTTAGCCCATGCGCTCAGTATTGTTCAGAGCCCTCAGTTGCAATTGTCCTACGGCAGGAAATTAATTTGACAAAACGGCTTTTCCTCATAACCCTTTCACCTGCTTCGACCATACGATAAACTATTTTAATACCTATGTTACAGAGTAAATTGAATTAGAATAGGTCACAAAACGATTTCTTTCATACGGGCAAGCAACTGAATGTCGAACGGAGTAAAGGTATTCCTCTCAGACAACTATCAGGTGATGCTGATGCCTTGTCCAGCCAGAGATACGCTCTTAAATTCATTTATCAAATTAGCAGTAGAACGCTGCGTGGCATGACGGAAACTTGAGCCACAGATTTCTCGCTATTGTGATGAATTTAAATTAATGTGTGCTGCAAATCTTATAACAATTGCAAGTCTACTAACTGCTGTCTTTGGGTAAAGCACGCTTTTTTAAATAGTGGCCTACAAATGTGCTCAGTTGGGAGAATACAATTCTTTGACTGCATTTTCGATGAGTAGATATTACTTAGTTTGGTGAACGTCTATCTGGAAATGAGAACAGGTGTCGTTTTTGATGCGTTTGAGCGGCAATACTGGATAGTAGATTAATCACGACTTCTTCCTTTTTAGGCAACCAACAAATGATGATGCCGATGGGAGGCTCTGCTGCCTCAAATCAAGTCGTGGTTCAAACCGATTCTACACAACAAGTAAGTCTGAGCACATCATCAGTTTCTTCGTTTAGGTATTTTTAACTTATATCACTTTTTAAATTTTCTTTAGCAGATGGTGGTCCAGCCCGCTAACTACTTCCAGTCTCTGGTCCAACCGGCTACCTCTCTCTCGGGGTCTGGTGTCCAATCTGGAGTGGTCTCTTCCTCATCCGCTCCAGCTCCGGTCGCTAGCACTGCCGTTACTATGACTAGTACCGCCGTTCCGGTTGCTGTTCCTCCAGCTGCAAACGTTACAATAGACGAAAATGGGCCATTCGTGCTTCCTGACCCGCCTTCGGATCACCAACAGGAACGTGATCAGGTGAATCTTGCGTACACGCACATTTGTCTCATTTCACTCTGTGGTGAAATCCTTATGCATCTGGGTGGAAACGTGAGGAGGCAAGTGTGCCTTTCCGATTTCACTGACGTTTGAAATTACTACAAAACACTTGGTCTGTCATTGAAATTCATAAGGATGAGAGATGATTTCCGAATCAACTGCATTTACCGTGAGAGAGGTTTTCGAGAATGCTAGCAGTTTACGCTCTTTTATTAACTCATTGTTTCCAGTTTCGTGCTGTTTTAATACTTTGGTGGCTTTGACAAACTTCTCTCCCTTAATGGTCGTTCTTTTCGTCCATTCAAGACTTCTAAGAGACAACTCAACTTCAGATTGTTATTGTTTGCGGAAGCTACCATGAATAGGAATTCTTCGACATTGGATTGCGCTCCACTTAAGATTATACAATTCGAAGTAGTTACTTTCGTAGATGGCGAAACCAAACAC